GTTTAGGTATGAGGCTCAGTGATAGCATAGTTTTCTAACATGCCCAAGGCTCTGAGTTTCCTCCTTAGCACTGTAAAACAAAACTGTTTGAGGTGCATTTAGACTGACTCTGATTATACAGAAATTAAACTGAGCATTTGTTACAACTCATATATATATATATATATATATATATATCCCTACTTGTTTAATCCAGTCACATTCTCATGTTCTTTTGAGGTGGGTAACAAATACTGGTTTAAGAAAGTGGACTTGTAAATTTTCTTCTATAAAAGTAAAATAGAGCCAGCGAGATAGCTCATTGGACTAAGCACCTGCTTAGGCAAGCTCCGGGACTAAGGTTTGATCCCCAGCACCACATGCCACACTGGCCCTGCCCCCAGGTGTTCTGAGCCTGCCTCCAAGACTGGGTGTGGTGGTGTATGCCTGTAATCCCAGTGCTGGGGAGGCTGAAAACGGGAGGATCACTACAAGTCTGAGCTGCATAGTAAAACCCTATACCAAATACATTTTTTTTTAAAGTAAAATAATTACAGTTTTAGTACTGAATAGCAGAAAAAGTAATATAGATAATTTACTAAAAATTTGAAAAGAAAACCTGTGTCTTATTTTTCCATTTCGTTTAATGTGTCTTCATGCTGGTTATGATACTACTTTTTTATTTAACATTATTTCTAAACACTTTCTGATCTCATCTGAGTTTTGTATTTGAATAAAAATAGTTTTTAAATTCAAGCAGAACAAGAAAACACATATGTCTCCCTCCCCTGGGTCATTGTTAAAACATTCTGCGTGTGTGTGTGTGTGTGTGTGTGTGTGTGTGTGTGTGTGTGTCTGTCATATAGTATCTCATTATACAGGTGGGATTTTCTGTTATGTATTTGTATTCTTTCACCTAACAACATGTCCTGCACACCTTTTCAAATCAATTGCCTAGACCTACCTAATTATTTTTACCAGTTACCAATATCCCATTATCCCCTGTACTAACCAGTCCCTCACTATCACTTGCAATGACTATAGTATCCTGTTAAATGGTTATGTTGATAAAGCAATTATACTTTGGACTGCATTTTGGAAAGTTTCTGAACTATGCTGTCTTAGTAATTTTCCTCCTCACTGGGACAAAATTCCAGGAACCCACAATTTAAAGGAAGACAAGATTATTTTAACTCACAGTTATAGAAGTTTTAGTCCATGGTTGAATGCATCCAGTGCAGAAATGGGATGGTGGAAAGGTCTGAATAGAGGAAGGCTGTTTATTTCATGGTTGCCAGGAAGCAGAGAGAAGAGGGAAGAGCTGGGATGGAAAATATGTCCTGCCAGGCCATGCTGCCAATAACCTAAGTCCTCCAACCAGGTCTCACCCCCAGTAGAACTCTCATGACACTGAACTCACCAGTGGATAAATCCAGTGTTGAATACAGCATTCCCATGATCTTTCCAAAAGCCTCATCTCTGCTATATGACACTTTTGTGAACATATTCAGTACCATTTTGTCTACATTATAAATTATGTATTTGATGTTATTACATATACCATTGTTTGTAATTTGTTGCTGCACTTTTATTAGTGATCACATTCCTCATAGCAAACTTCCAGCTGTGCAAGCTCTTCATTCCTCTTTTTTCCCCATTTCCCACCTTTCCTTTCAACCCTTATTCCTCTTCCCCTCCTTGTTTATAAAAATTTTGTTTTCATTTTTTCTTTCTATTCTTTCTTCTCTATTCCTTCTCCCCACTCCCCTTCCCTCCACCTTCTCTTGTTCACTTTCCCATTTGAACTTTTTGAACATTTTCTTTCTACCTCCCAATATATGACACCCATTTTGCTCTATTTACACTTTCAGTTTCTTACACAAGAGAAACAGTATAATACTGTTTGGACACATCTGTGTCCAATTTATTTCACTTAGAAATATCAACTCAGGGTGCATCCATTTACCCAAAAACATGTCATTTATCCTTCTTTATAGCAGAGTAGTACTCAACTAAATATAAAAAGGACATTTCTTTATCCATATATCCAGTGATGATCATCAAGGCTTTTTACAAGGTTTAGCTATTCCAAATTGTGCTAATATAAATATGTATGTTTACATATTTCTATGGTATGATGCTTTTAACTTTTAGGATTATACCAAAAAGAGGGCTTAGCAAGATCAAGTAGAACCTCTAGTTTTAGTTTTTTGTTGGATCACCATACTAATATATATTTATTTGATGTTTGTAGTTCTTCATCTAAGAGATGTGTTCATTTCAGATGCCCATTTTTAGATTGGGTCTTTAAATTTGAAGGGGGCTAGGGAGATGGCTCAGTGGAATAAGCACTTCCCTGGCAAGTGCAAGGGCCTGAGTTCAATCTCCAGTTCCGGAAAAAAATAATAGTAATAATAATAAATTTGAAGGGTCTGGGGCTGGTGAGATGGCTCAGTGGTCTAAAGCACCTACTTAGAACAAGTTTAGCAAAGCACAGGGACTGCGGTTCAATCCCCCAGCACCACATGCCAGCCAGCCCCGCCCCCTGGTGGGCTGAGCTGGCCACACACACACACACACACACACATAAATAAATAAAATTTAAAAAAAAAAAAAAATTGAAGGGTCTGAATTTTTGGAGTTTGTGGTATATTCTAGATATTATTTCATCGGTTGTCTTTTCACACCATTGGTAGTTTCTTTTGTTATGTATATGTTATATAATTCTTTTTTTTAATTTATTTATTTTTTTGTTATATAATTCTTAATACCTACAAGTTATATGCTTCCCCTATGATTACAAAACTATTGTAACATAACGTAATAGCCATCAACCTGACTGCCTTACAACAAGGATTTTGTGGTTTTGTTTTTGTATTTTGTTGTGTGTGTGTACATGTACACTTTCATTGAGGTCACTTTTTTACAAGTTATTGTTTTTTTATTTTACTAGTTCAGTTTAGTGACTACCATATCCACAGTCTTCAGCCAATTTATGAAGGAAATTTAAGAGAAACATAAGCTATTTCTAGAGTTTATATTGAAGTTGCAATATAACACACAACAATTATGAAAAAATGATGTAATGCCAAGTTCTATCCTAGGCACAACATTGTGTTAGGTTGAACCATCCTAAAATTGCAGATATTCATTTATTTGCGCCTATAAAAAAGATAATTTCATATATGATTCAACCTACCCTATATTTTAGATTATAAGTGAGAACATAAAGGTAAGCATGAGTAAGTTATAAACATCTCTCCTAACAGATGGAAAAGGTATCAGAAGAGGACACTAGAATCTGGAATTAGCATGGCAGCTATAAACTCAATGGAAGTAGTGCATAACATCACACTTTAAGCTAAATATATAATGTAGAAAATACAGTTAAATAGAAAAACTGATTCTTTTGAGATTGAATGCCAAGTAAAGATACCTGAAATTTTTTTCTTCTCATTCTTGCTTTTGAAGAACTGGGGATCAACCAGTAAACCTGACATATCCTAGACAAGTGGTGTCCCACTGAGCTACACATGTACCCCAGCACTCTTTTTCTCTAACTTTTATCCTTTAAACTACCAGGTTTCCAACTCTAGTGTGTAGCAAAGCTACATAATAAAAGAAATTACTCAGCCCCACTGCCAAAATTTCTCACTCAGTATGGCTAGATGGGACCCCCAAAACTTTTAATATTTTCAGGTGATATTGATGCTTATATTTCAGTCTGGATGCTTACTTTGAGAACAACTGCTTTAGGCTATAAGAGATTTATTTTAGATACTTTAGTATAGAATGTCCTCCATGAGATTGCTTTAGGAATTTTATGTAGAATTGTGAAGGGTAGATTAGAAAAAGTGATAAAAGTCATTGTATTTACTTTATGAGATCACTGTATAAATTCCTCTGAAATAATCACAAATTATCCCACATAGTCTTATCTTCTGTTTTTTGTTTTCAGTACTGTCACTCAACCTCAGCTATTTTCTTTATACTATACCCATGCTAAAGAAGAGCTTTCTATTTTCTTTCTTTCTTTCTTTCTTTCTTTCTTTCTTTCTTTTTTTCTTTATTTTGTATTTTAGTACAGGGCCTACAGGGTCTCACTATGTAGATCAGCCTTGTAGTGATCCTCCTGTTTTCAGTCTCCCAAGAGCTGGGATTACAGGCGTGTGCCACCACATCCAGTCTCAATTGCCATCTCAGCACACCTTGTGGGCAGGGCTGGCATGACAGGCCAAGGATCAAACCCTGGCTGCTGCGTCTGCCTCAGCAGGCACTTTAATCCACTGAGCTATTTGCCCTGCCTCTATTTTCAATTATTAGTCTCACAGCCGGGGAGGTATCTCTGTGGCATAAGTGCCTGCCTGGCAAGTGCGAGGTCCTGAGGATGATTCCCCAGTACTGCAAAAAATAAAGTACATAGAGTATTTAGTCTCTTATTTTCATCCCTCATTATTTTTTCCTTAGCTTTAAGGACATCTGAGGTTGTCAGAGCTATAGTCTTTAAGTATTTCATTCATATTTACTATTTTGTCATCTTCAAAGGAAGACTTCTTTATTCTTTTGTTTTTTAAATTTCAGAGTGTAAAACTGAAGCCCAAGCATATATTCCAATAGAGAATATTCCTAAATTCAAACAGGATGGAACACAAACTATCAAGTTGGAAGATCTATATGACTATGATGATGGATTAGAGAGGCAAGCAACAGATACCTTCAGGAAAATGTCCATGAATGAAAGAGATTTCAGTTTGAAGTCTATCTTTTCACAAGAAGATGATCCTACAGAAGAATATCTTAGTAAATATGACATATATAGAAATGATTTTGAAAAGCATTTAAACCTAACTGGACAGTTTAATACCCAATCCGATAATAAAACTTATACATATAGTGAAGACAAGCCTGTCTTCAATAATTTCTCATATGGTACTGTATATAGGAAAATACTTCCTGGAGATAAGCCTTATAAATGTAATGTGTGTGGAAAAAAATTTAGGAAATACCCATCCCTCCTGAAGCACCAAAGTAGCCATGCCAAAGAAAAATCTTATGAATGTGAAGAATGTGGGAAAGCATTTAGGCATATTTCATCCCTCATTGCACATCAGAGAATGCATACTGGAGAAAAACCATATGAATGCCACCAATGTGGTAAAGCCTTCAGCCAACGTGCACACCTTACTATACATCAGAGAATTCATACTGGAGAAAAACCTTATAAATGTAATGATTGTGGAAAAGACTTTAGTCAGCGAGCACACCTTACTATACATCAGAGAATTCATACTGGAGAAAAACCTTATAAATGTAATGATTGTGGAAAAGACTTTAGTCAGCGAGCACACCTTACTATACATCAGAGAATTCATACTGGAGAAAAACCTTATATATGCAATGAATGTGGGAAAACATTTAGTCAGAGTACACACCTTCTTCAGCATCAAAAAATACATACTGGAAAGAAACCATATAAATGCAATGAGTGTTGGAAAGTGTTTAGTCAGAGCACGTATCTTATTCGACATCAGAGAATTCATTCTGGAGAAAAGTGTTACAAATGTAATGAGTGTGGAAAGGCCTTTGCTCATTCTTCCACTCTTATTCAACATCAGACTACTCACACTGGAGAGAAATCCTACATATGTAATATATGTGGGAAAGCCTTCAGCCAGAGTGCAAACCTTACTCAGCATCATAGAACACATACTGGAGAAAAACCATATAAATGTAATGTGTGTGGGAAAGCATTCAGCCAGAGTGTGCACCTAACTCAACACCAGAGGATTCATAATGGAGAAAAACCCTTTAAGTGTAATATATGTGGCAAAGCATATAGACAAGGTGCAAATCTTACTCAACATCAAAGGATTCATACTGGAGAGAAACCCTATAAATGCAATGAATGTGGGAAAGCTTTTATTTATTCCTCATCACTTAATCAACATCAGAGAACTCATACAGGAGAGAGACCATATAAATGTAATGAATGTGACAAAGATTTTAGCCAGAGAACATGCCTTATTCAGCACCAGAGAATTCACACAGGAGAGAAACCCTATGCATGTCGAATATGTGGAAAATCCTTCACTCAAAGTACAAATCTTATTCAGCATCAGAGAGTTCATACAGGTGTCAGACATCGTAATTAGTGGATGGATATTGGAGACTTGGTTTAGGTTTTTCAATTTGGTCACTTAAATTTTATTTTGTATGCTCTGTGTGTTAAAACATTATTCAGAAGATATCCTAAGAAGTGCAATATATATTACATATCACTCAGCAGAAGTATCAGAATTAATGATATGGATATAGTTGTTAAAATAATGTGAAATGTAAAAAGAAAACTTCGTGGACTTCTTAAATCTTTATTTGATATCAGTTTAATTCATTCTAGAAAGAAACCCTGGGAAATGATACTCAAAAAATTAACTCTTCAACTCTCAAGGTATTTCAAGTACTTTTTTAGAGGCCTTATGAATGTAATGTGGGACAGTGTCCCACAAATAGAGATTTCACACTAGACAGTAATCCTGGGATTATACAAAAGAAAAAACTATTTTCAGGCCTTTCTTTCTTCACAGCTTTGCAGCCTTAAAGGTTTCCCTTTCACCCTCTTGTATGCCATTACTGCCATATGAAACCAGTAGTAGGTTTGAGAAAAAAAGTTGAAAGTATATTAAAGATTTCTGTGACCATTGTTTAACTATACTTTCCCTCAAATACTGAAATATTAAAATAAGTTTAATGAAAGATGATGCTGAGACAGAGAAACTAGTGTATATAACCCTTAGGCATGTGTACAGACTTAAGGAGGCAAAATTCAAACATAAATTAATATTTGAAATAGGTAAGCCTTAGTTTCACTAGGTCTTGACTTTCAAAATCATCCTGAAGGAAAGAAGCTTACAGTTCCTATTTTTTCCACCAGATATCTAAATTCATAACTTAAAGTTCTTTGTGTCTCTTAACTGCAAGAAATTCACTTCTTCCACTGAAACACATTTCTTGAATGCCTACTGTGCTTTCAGATCCCAGATTTCCTGATTGAATCCTTTCAACGCTTGTTACAATGCTGAAAATTGCAACTGATTTAAGTAAAAGAAAGGTTGATTTTTTAATAGTGCAGAAGTAAAAACATGATTTTAAGTGTTTTGCTATGAAATAAGCATAAACTTGATAAGATGGGTGCCACATATAACCCTGTAACCTAAGTCAGGAAGTAATGAAGGCAGCTATCTAAATAATGTGAGAGAGTAAGAAATGGCAAATGGATTTGAGTTCACTGTAGAGAGTTGGCCAGGGAAAAATCAAAGAGAAAAGCAAGTGAAGAAAGGGATAAAACAGTGGATAAATACAACTGGACTTAGTATACGGAAGAAAGTAAGAGTGATAAATGTAAAATTTAGCCTAATTATAAGAAAAAGTGAAATGATTGATTTTAAAGGAATAATTAGAAACCTGGTACTCCATATATGAAAGTAAAATAGAGGTGACTCAATGTGTCAGAAAAAAACTTTTCTATTGGAAAAAGCATTGTACAGAAACTGTCGCTGATAGAGTAATTGTTAAAATTTGTGGGTCCTAAACTATATAAATGGAAAACTGGCAGAAATAGGTTTAAAAATGCTGTTGTATCTAATATTCATAGTTTTTCACTCTCAGAATATAAGACTACAATTCCATTTTGCTCATATTGTTTCTCCAGTGTTTTGCTCATTACACGTGATCAGTATATCTTGGTTGAATTCATTAATGAATATGTAAATTAGAGTTAAGTAAATGTTGAACCAAATGGCATGGAGTCAAAATTGGTAAAAACAATGTGCATATTTAAAACAAATGTTTTACAACTATTGATTACTTACCAAGTAGTAGGAATACCTAAACATGGAAAATCAGAAATCACGGGACATCTGTACATGAAAAAATTTTCCTGAGCTAAATGGGATAAACTGATAAATTCTGCTACCTTAAATATCTGTGAGCATGTATTGACCATATAGTTTGACTTAGACATTACTGTTTATATAAACATACTGCAAACGTGATGTTAGGCAAGGGTGCCAGCATCTTCAAGCTTCAAGAGTATTTTCTTGAAGAAATTGCTGCTTTCCCTTTTGTTGACATTAGTTAACCTTGATTTCATTGTATCATCCACAAAATGCAGGTTGCAAAATACTTAAATTATTCTTAATCCCATGATTGTTAAAAAAATAACAGTTGTATTTAAGTTACAATTTTTTCTGGTGTTACTTCATCTCACACAATACTTTTCTCCTTTGGAATGAATGTTTGGAGTGTTACAGTATGTATCATCTTTCTTTGCATTGCTCCATATTTTCTGCCTTTGTATGTTTTATGTAAATAGTGCATTTATAAAGTCTTCCATTGATACACAGAGGTAACTAATGCCCTTATAAAATAATAGAACAATAGTTCACAATACTAGGGTTTTGTGTGTTTTTCTCCCCATTTGTAGAATTGTCTGAACCATGAGTAACTCAACATTTCTTTTAGCGAATAGTCTTTATTTTCCCCAATTTTTAATTAGGAAAGTTGTAAAATATGTATAGAAGTTTTAAAATAATGAACTGTACCCATCACTGAACTTAAAAATTAACATTTTGCCATAGAAAATAGCTACAGACATGATATTTCACTTCTAAATACATCTCAGTCATTTACATAACCACAATAGTTGAAAGAAAATGAATAGTCCTTCCCTAAAACACTATCTAAATCCCTAGTCAATATTTGAATTTCTCTTGTTGATTCAGTCAGTTTTCACACATACTTACATCTTTTTCATCTCCCAGACAAGTTAGACCTTGACTTGCATGGGCTCTACTGGGCAACAAGAAATTTGTCTTGGGCTGCATATAATACAGTTAATGTATATAAGGAACAAAAATTCCATTTTTGTGATTATAACTTTTAAAAAGGGCAGGAAGCCTGTGGACTGCTGGTGGACTTGCCTCTCAGTCCTCACCTTTTGTTGTCCCTCAGAAAACAAGTCATTTATCTTGTAGAGTGTTTCACATTTGGGATTTAACAATTGGCATGTATATATGTGCTTTATACTTGTGTTTTCTGAAGTTTCTGGAAATTAGAGGTTAAGATCAAAGGTGTGATTAACTCATGTTTAACACTTTTATTAACACTAACACCTAACAGATCTATTTTCTTTTACATTGTTTTGTGAATATCAGGTTGACTCATTGTCAGTAATGTGATATTTGATCATTGAGTTCAATTGGTAATCACCAGTTCTTCCCAGTGTAAACATAGCTTGTCCTGGTGCAATTAGCAATCTGGGATAACAGTGAGGAAGCATATGAACAGCCTTTTTGCCAACTTTTTTATGTGGTTGGTTATTAATATTAATACCCAACAATAATCCTTGCCTTACCTGCACTGGCACCATCCCCAGGGATGCTGAACCAGCCACCAAGACCATGCGTGGTAGTGCACACCTGTAATCCCAGTGCTGGGGAGTCTGAAAACAAAAAGATCACTATGAGTCTGAGCTGCATAGTGAGACCCTGTGCCAAATACATTTTTTAAAAAATCCTTGCCTTAGTTAATTTTTTCATCAAAGTTAGCAAAATGATGATTTTCTAATTCAATTATTCTTTCCACATTGTTGAATACTAATCTCCAAGAAAGAACTTGTCCTTGTTAACTAGGAATGCACTAGTGGTAGGCTTATTCTCAGTTCTTTTCCTTTATCACTGTAGAGGTTCAATTACCAGTAAAATGTTTGGTATCATCTGAGATGATGACAAATCACTCAGTGTATAAAGTCAATTACAAATTGTTTCTGTTGGTTAAATTGTCCCAAACTTGGCTAGTCAAAACCCTCCAACTAGCTCTAATGTCCTTTTGACATTTTCCCTCTAGTTATTGGGCATATAATTACCTTCTGACACAGATACCTCAAGTTCACTCTTCACTTCATTCCCCCAGTCATGGGATAAAACATTTCTCCAGAGACTCATGGCTCCTTTTAATAGGCAGCCACTTAGAAACCATCATCTGAATCTAGTACATTTTCATTGCAACTGGAATGTCATTAGCAAGTGTTTCCACATGTTCAACTTGATTTCCATAATGAAGAAATTCTGCACTTAGTTTGTTGGCTACATAATGTCTTAATTATGTAATGAGAGATAGAATTACATAATCGGAATAAACTTTTGGGAGCAAATAACTCAGTCCTGAGCACAGAAACTAAATTGAACAGAAACTGTTTAGAAAGGAGAAAATTTTAATGACAAATAGTTTTATACAAAGATCATCAGGAACATTTATAGAGGGAGTGCAATTTGTCAGTTAACCTGGCAAGTGAGTTAAATGGATTACAATTAAGAGAGGAAATAGATTTTTAATACCTAGTATATTGTGTTTTAACTATTACATATTGATTATGTATAAGCTAATCAACTGCCCATCATTTAATTAATTTATTTATTTTTTCAGTTCAGGGCATTAAACACTGGACCTTGGGCACAAGTGCTGCCTCTCGACATCCAAACCCCCTCCCATTACTTTTTTTTTTTTTTTTTTTTTTTTTTGATTTTTTGAGATAAGGTTTCACTATGCAGTTCAGGATGGGCTTGAACTCACTTTGTAGCCCAGGCTGGTCCCAGACTTGTAGCAATCCTCTTGCCTCAGCCTCCCAAGTGCTGAGATTTTAAGTATGTACCACCACCCCCAGGTGTTATATGATCTTCAAACCTTTAAGGCGCTTTTGTCTTGTTCTTTATCTTCTCATGTCAGTTCACTTGCATTTGCCTGTAAATATATTCATCCTGCTATTCTCCCAGTGGCTTTATGCTTTACCCGATTAGCCCCTTCGAACACTAAAACCGTTAAAAATGGCAAGCATGTGAAACATGGCAATCCATGTAAATATATGTGTAAGACTGTAAGCAACATTTGGCCTTCCACTGTATAAATGACAAAAGTGAAACCTGTGATGTAGTACTGTCTGCATGCGATCTTATGCCACAGAGTAACAAAATAAGAATTAGGAACCATGGTACCAACTTGTAATTGTGTTCTTATTGTAAAATAATGGTAAATAGAAATATTGAGTACAAACAATATGTACCTACAGTTTTACAAAATTAGATATTTTTGCAGTTAGAACATTGAAAAAGTCTTTTACCTGTTTTTGTCTTTTCTCCCATATAGTTTCTTCAAATCTTTAAGAGTAGCCAAGCTCAGGATGCACCTCCCCCTTCCAATTTCTGACCTGCCATCCAGATGTTTCCCGAGTTTCAGAACTATATAGTCAGTGATTACCTGGAACTATCTCACAAGAACTTCAACTGTTATGGTCAAAAGCTTAATTATTTATAACCCCTAAGCCTCTTTTGAAATTTGTTATAACTTCAATCAGGAAGCTAGAAGTTACCATCTTTGATAATTGTCTTAATCTTATTGATTTTACAAGCAAGTTGCCTGCTTAATGCTTACAAAATAGAGTCAAATTCTATGTCCAGAAGTTGAAAATAATGACAACACTCCATTAGACAGTGATTAAAAACTATACTTCAATTTTATATTCATTCATGAGCATTATACCTTATACCAGGGTGCTAGAAAGCCCCAGCTACTAAAAGTTCTTTAAAACCACTAAAACAAAGATGATCAAGGCTGCAAGGAAGGATGCTTATTGTTCTGCACTTTCTGGAACCTAAAGGAAGGTCATGGATGAAACTTGACTTTTAAATTAAACTACAAGAAAAACAAATAGCTCAAACCTATGTGAACAAAGAACATAATGGCCATTTCCCCTGCCTCTCAGAAACAGCAAGATGACAAAAAGCTGGGGAGAGAAAGCCAAAGACTCTCAGATCTACCTTACTACAGTTGCCACAAGCCAATAGTGATTATTCACCTAAGTCAGAAGACAAATGAAAGCCTGAAAATAGTTCTACTCTCGCCCATGTCTAAAAAAGTAGGTCATAGCCTACATAGTTTGTTAGTTTAGCCAGCATCTATCACCTTGAATTCCAAGAGCTAAGTGAACATTGTTCCATTTCTCTGCCAAGATTTGGCAAAATACTGTTGGCTGAAGACTAAGCTAAAGATAATTTTTGCATTTTCAAATGGCTTAGAGTAATATAAAAATATTTCATGACATATGAAAGTTGTATGAAATTCAAATTTTAGTGTCAATAAAGTTTTGTTGGACTATAGTCATGCCCACTTATTACTATTTCTATGCCACAGCAGGACCAATGACCATAAGAGACCCCAAAGCCCAAAGTATTTACTGCATGGGGAACATGTCAGAAATAAAAGTTAACCAAACAGTTTTGATAAATGAAAGTGAGGAAAACAGGGAACACTGCCAGAAGTTCAGGTTAAAATGATTAATCTCCAGCTCTTGGGAGGCTGAACACAGGTGGATCACTACAAGTCTGATCTATGTAGTGAGACCCTCTCGACCCTTATTAAAATACAAAAATAAATGAAAATGATTGATCTCAGTTCAGGAAGCTCAACAGTGGTGGGCAGTGCTACTGTTTCCTTGGCCATGTACCTGTGTACACTTGTCCTCAATTAGATGGAAGAAAAGTTTCATATATGGACGGATCAGGTTCAAGTGAGTGGTCTTAGCTCTCTGATTTTTCCAACTATTGTTTTGCCAAAATCTTGTGAAACAAAATGTGAGTTCAAG